TTGATGCCTGGATAACGGTAATACACATACATATGTTTGCATCTTAGTTACCATTCTGTTCTTATAGGAAAAATTAGTGCATTAAAAACAGCCATTAGGATATAATGCAATCAAGAGGCCTGATGACCATGTTATTTCTGTATAGATACAGCCTAAAGAGTGTTAAAGAAGTTTCCTGAACATGGCCTTCGTTATAACCATCAATTAATTTTTTTTAATAAAAACTATAATTGAAAATTGCTTATCACAAATTTATCATAATTTTTTTTACTAATACTATTAAAGAAAAAAGAGAAATAAATTTGCTTCTAGACATAGAGAATGATGGCCAAAAATTTCAAGGTGTTAAAGAACATAATTTAACACCCAAAAGAAAAGCTCAAGAAAAGTAGTTCTGCAAATAAAACCTGCCTCTAAGACATTAGCTTTATCAACTGAGCAAAGTTTGCCAAGCCGCTTCCGGGCAGTCTCAAATGCAACACGAGCAATTCGATCCACCTGCAATGCAAGTACTTGATAATAAAATAAAAACTGACTTGAGACTAAGCTAACCATTCAAACACCTAATTTGACATCATTTTAACGAATTATATGACACTTATAGGAATGAAGCGGAAATGACAGTAGCAGCAAAGGGATTCAGGGAAATGCCTACAATATCTCAGGTAAAAACATGTCCAAGGCAGAGTATTAGTACATAAATCAGCACTACTCTTGATTTACACTCCTCATCCAGCAACTACTTGTATCAGAGGCCTACCTTTCACATGAACATTTATAAGAAAACAAACTTATATCAGATGAGTACCTCATGGCTAGCATACACCTCAGTGTTGAAGCCAATCTCCTCACCACTTTCATTGGTGCCAAAACCCCTAGGCTTTCCAAAATAAATACCTATTTTGAGGAAAAAGTATTTGGACAGGGATTATCGAAAAGGAGAAGGATGAAAGTAAATCCATTTAATTCCAGTTACAGTCAACGTATACTGACCTCCAGTGAGCTCTCTTACAACCATGATGTCAACCCCCTCAGCAACCTCTTTCTTCAAAGTTGATGCATCAACCAACTAAAAAGCAGACAAGAAGAATAACCCATTTTTACCAAGATCGATTAGAAACAGAACATGTATACATTCAGGCAAGCACACAAATTTAAATGAATACTTCTATAAAAAGCAACACAATATCATCGTAACAAATTTTATTTAATAGTGACCAGCTCTCTCTCAACAGTCGCAAATTTTAGAAGATTGATTATCCAGAGCAATTTTATTACAGTCTATAGCAGGTTTTTCTCAGTCAGGCTGACTTCATCATCATAAAAACTTATTTAATAGCTATAAGCTTTCTCTAAAGAGTTGCAAATTTTAAAAGACCAGCTATCCAGAGCAATTTTATTAGAGTCTCTACCTGGTTTTTCTCAGTCAGGCTGACATAATCACTGTAACAATCTAAAACTATAATCATTGTAACAATCTGTTTGATTGATGTTTGATCAACACACCATGCAGAACTTGCAAGTTATTCAATCATGACCAATTTCAAAGCCCAACATTCAGCAAATCAACTTTTGAGACAGTTTTTAGACTTTAAATAAGTTGTTCGAGATATTCTCCAAATTTCATAAACTTTATTAACTACAAGCAAGAAACAATTGAATTCCAAGTTTGGGCTCTAGTAAATATGACTTGCTAGATAGTGCATTGGACTAACTATAACAAAATGGTTCAAGATCATATTCCCCCTAACTAATGTTGAAATTCTTAATCAATATGTTGAGCTCGTATATACATCATTGTAACATAAACTCAATTTTCTTGCGACTTCTTTGCCAATGAGAAAGACAACAGAATAATCAACTTAAACATGCTACGAAATAACTAATGACTATGACCATAAAAAATGAAAAGGATTACTTGATAGAAAAAACAAAATTCTAGAGACTCTTGTGAATTTGATAAGCTCTAGATGCGAAAGAGAATGCTCAATGCTCACAACATTCCATTTTTAGCACAAAACATCCAAATTATATCAGCTATGCTCCCAGTAAAACAGAATTATTTACCTGAGGCAACACAGTAGCCGGTCTCAAATTCGCAAAGACTTTAAGACCTTCACGTAGCTTAAGCAACCCAGTCTCTGGCTTCAAGTGCTTCTCATTCTTATCCCATTTATACCTTGAATCACAAAAACCATCAAAGAAAATTAACAAGTTACTTGAACCAAAAAAGAAAAAATGATAAATTTAATAGTCAAACAAATTTCAAAAGAGATTTAGAAAGACGAATACCCTCCAATTGCTCCAAGTAGCACTGCATCAGATTGTTTTGCCACTGAAAGGGTTTCGTCTGGCAATGGGACTCCTACCAAATCCAAGGCAGCTCCCCCCATAGGCATCTCCTGAAAGCTAAATTCAATCCCTAACGTTCGTGCAAAAATACACAGACTCAAACACAGATCATCGTGATTCTAAATAACGCAATCCCTTACCATGCACAATACTAGGAATCAGAGAAAACAAAACAAAGAGAAGCTAAGAAAGTTAAAAAGGAATGAAATGTTAGCGGGATCCGAACCTTCGAGAGAACCAGCGAGCTTGAGAACTTCCTTGGAGACGGAGATGACTTCGGGGCCGATGCCGTCGCCGGGAAGAAGAGTAATGGCGTAGCGCTTACTAGGTGTGGTGGCGGCGCACCTGACTCTGCTGGATCCCAGGAGCTGTTTGGTAACTGATTTAGGTAAGAACGGGACCTTGACAGGATAGAAATGCAGCTGCATGCCGGCCGCCATTTTCGGGAGGAGAGAGATCCTCGCAGTTGCGGAGCGAATCGGATAGTGACTGATAGAGGACAACAGACGGGAAAGGTGAAACAGAGTGGAGTCGGGAAGATAGCTGTCAGATTAATGTTACTGTAGTGTCAGCTAAAACGACGTCGTTAAATGTTTCTGTTTTGTGTAATTGCTCATTAATTTTCTTTTTAATAATTTGGTTCATAAATTTATTTAATATTAAAATTAATTTTTTTTATTATAGCTTAATATGTAATTTTATAAAATTATCTTTAAAATAAAATAAAAAATTTTATATTATATTTGAATTATATATATTATCATTAAAAAAAAAGGTAATTCAAATGTATATAAATAGATACTATATTTACATTGAATCCAGAAATTTTAAAAATGAATTAAAACTTAACATTTAAAAGAGTTTATATTTTAATTTAATCCACATAATTTAATTAATTTATTTGTCTGTTAAAATAATTAATCCATATTATTATAATTTTTAAATTCTGTAAACATTAAGGAATAAAATATAGATACTAAAATTAATATACTGGTAAAACATATATATATGTTTTTGTAATTAAATATTGCTATTTAAATCTAAGAGTCCAAAAAAAATATAATAGTTTGTATATTTAAATTCTTTTCAATTTTCTGAAATATTTTGGTATTTGCAGTCTGCAATTTTACTTTTGAACTGAATTATTTGGCACGAATTTATTGATTTATTTTTAATAAGATTATCATCCTCAAACTCATATAATTAGATTTCCAAATTAACACAACAGATACAACTTTAAGATTTACATTATGTTTGGAAGCAAAGACAGAAAGAATATACATATATATATATATATGAAACTATTTATTGCAAGAAAAGATATAATTAATCCATTGCACTTCACTTTGAATCCTCTAGATTCAACTAAAATCTGTGTAGTTAAGGTTTAAAATCCAGAATGAACTTTCCCTTCTGTGTTACAGTTAAATAAATGAGATCAAAATCAGCACAGGGCTGAATCAGAAAGACAATGAATAATCTAAATATACAGATGAAAAACCCTTCTCTTACCAGTAATCACCACAAGAACATATCCCATTTTTGAAATGGTGGAATCTACTAGCATCTCTCACAATAATTTCTCTGTTTCTGATCTTCGATATGATCTTAATCGCAACATGGCAATCTCCGCAGACCCGTAAATTTTTCATCACTCTTATGGGTAAACCTGCGGGTATATTCATCAGACCAAAAGCAATTGCCAACTTCTCACTGTGATGAACCAAATTATATTCCTTCTCCTCACTATCCATGTCATGTAAAACTGAGCCTGTATCCGGCACGTAACCCCTTAACTTCATCTCCGAAGTCAGTTCTTTTAGGTACAATTCTATCTCCTCCATATCTGGATGAGATTTATCAGCCATACAGAACTGATGTATTTGATTCTTCACTTCCAACCAACTTATACCAGGTTCTTTCTTCAAGTTCCTGTCCCTCATGGCTTTCCTCACCTCAGAAACTTCCTGCCACCTCTTAGCCGAAGCTTGAGTGTTAGAAAGCAGGACATAAGAAGCTGAATCCCGAGGATCAATCCTAAGAACTTCTTCAGCAACTATTTTCGCCATGTCTGCATTCTTGTGGAGTTTGCATGCAGATAACAAAGTTTTCCATATAATGGCATCTGGTTTTACTGGCATTGATCTAATCATAGCCTCTGCTTCATCCAAACACCCAAAACGACCAAGCAGATCAACGATACACGTATAATGCTCTAAACTAGGCTCCACTCCGTACCCTTTTACCATCAACTCAAAAAGTTCAAGCCCTTTCTCCTTCAGTCCACAATGACTGCAAGCATATAGCAAACTCAGGAACGTAACATCATTTGCTTCGAATCCACTCTTCTCCATATCCTCAAACAATTCAATCGCCTCATCTCCTCTACCATGAAATCCATAAGCAGCAATCATTGCACTCCACAAAACAAGATCTCCAACCTCATGTTCCACGAAAACTTTCACAGAATCTTTGAGACATCCACATCTCGAATACATGCTAATCAATGAACTAATGACTGCAACTACTGTATTAGCCCCAGCCTTGATTGCTTCAGCATGAATTTGCTGACCCTGTCCAAGAGTTGCTAATTCAGAACATGAACTTATCACGCTCACAAAAGTAATCTTATCAGGTCTGCAACCTGCCATTTTCATCATACTATAATGATGTAAAGCTCCCTCTGGGTATCCATGTTGAGTTTTTCCCGCAATCAGAGTATTCCAAGCAACCACATTCCAAAAGGGCATGGCTTGAATAACTTTTTCTCCATCCCCCAAGCTCCCACTCTTCATATACATATGAGCCAAGGAGCTTCCAACGACCATATTAAACTCAAACCCACATTTGATCACGTAATCATGAACCTGCCGCCCAGCGTGCAGAGCTCTTAAACCTGCACACCCTCGAAGAACACTACCCAGGGTGAACTCATCCGGAAAAAAACCCAGCTCATGCATTTCTCTAAACAAACTCAGACCTTTTTCATTATATTCAAACTGCATCAGACCCGCAACAATGGCATTCCAAGTTGCCACGTTTCTCTCAGGCGTTTCATCAAACAGCTTCTGGGCACTCTCCAGATCGCCACTTCTCACGTACCCATTAATCAAAATATTACAAGACATGAAATTTTTCTTTGGCATCACGCCGTATAAAGAAACTGCAGTCTGCAACTGGCCGAACTTTGAGTACATGTTCATTAGGTGGTTGCATATGAACTTGTCTGAGGAGCACCCAGATGAGATTATCAAAGAATGGAGTTGTCTTCCTAGCGGAAGTGAGTTCCGGGATATGCATGATTGTATAAGGTGAGAGAAGAGAGATGGGTCTGCCCATATGTGGAATCTGAGCTTCTCAAAAGCTTCCTTTACGAGTCCTTCTGAGCAGAAACTGATTAAATCAGCGGCGAGAGTTGCAGTGGTTGTGGTGGAGAAGAAACGCAGGGAAGAGAAGCTTACTTGACCAAGACCAGAATTTCCCATACATCATAAGCAGGATTTTGCCTCGATGGGCCTTTGCTGGTTGGCTATATAAACAGGATTAGTTGTTTACCATGGCGGCCAATTATAATTAGATTTCAAAACCAGAGATATCCTTGTAATTTCTTGTAGAATTTAATTAAAATTTGTACATACGGATTATAATTACACTAATTTTGTATATGTCTCAGTTCTATAATGATATATTTATATATTTACTGTAAGAAAGAAATTGCATAAACATGAAAAAGAAATTGCATAAACATGAAATTTAAATTGAATACAAAATCAAATAATATTTTAGTTCAAAATCTTCTTATTATTTTATTAAATTTTCAATTTAATTCCATATAATTTTAACTTTAGCCAAATCCAAGATATAAACTTATTGAGTCTAGGGATTTCTAATTCATTTACTGAGAAGATAATGATTGTAACTTGGATCCTGCACAATCTTACTCAAATTGTTTGGTGCAAATATTTTCTTAAATATCAGGTAGATTCTCAGTATAGTCATTTATCACATGCGGAGGAGCAGACTTACTTCATATATATACATATATGTGTGTGTATATATATATTTTTTAAAAAGACTTACCAAATTTCTTAGAACTTGCTGCAAAATCTGATGAATTAATCAAGAAAAATAGCTACCAAAAGAAAGAAAAGAAGCAAAGATATAGCAAATAATGGCACTTTTGCTCATTTCTAAACTCGTACTACATCAGATCAAAAGATTACACATTATTATACATTCAATCAATTCAAGATGTATGGTCAAGATTTTCTGTATTTGCAGTTTTATCATATACTCAGACGGAGACTGGTGTGGGTACTGTTGGAGGAACCCGATTTTCGACTGGGATTTCGACAAATTCTGAGAGGATAGCCCTAAATTCATCTCCTGTCATTGTTTCCTTCTCAAGGAGGACTTCCACAATCTTGTCAATGGCTTCACGGTTGTTCCTGATGTGTCTCAAGGCAATCTCGTATGCGCTATCTGATATCTTCTTGACTGCTGTATCAATGTCTTCGGCTAGCTTTTCTGACATTGAATTTCTTGCCATCATTCTCATGATGACATCAGCACTTTGAGCTGATGCATCCATGAGTGACCATGGACCAATTTCAGACATCCCAAAAGTAGTTACCATCTGCATCCGGTGAATAGTTATCAATGTCATTCACATATTCGGTAGCGTAAGCAAAGGGTTATTCTAGCTACAGATGCCAGTACAATTGTCTAAACCTAGTAGCGGAGGACCTTAGAAGAAAATTTTCAATTAAGAATGAAATTTAAGTAGCTTTCAAAAAATTCATTTTGAATTTAACCCACGCAAGATGTTGTATCAATTAAGTAATCTTGAAGGAAATATATAGGGGAACGTATTTGGACACAAAGAAGAAAAGCTAATTTCAAGTATAGTTATATGCTTAATAAATTCAATTTTCCAAGAAAAGGAATACATAGGTGACAGCAAGAGGTTATAGAATTGCTCCAAGTGAAATGCTTTAAAACTCCAGTTACCTGTTTAGCTAAACCAGTGATCTGCTGCAAATCACCTGCTGCACCCGTCGTAACCTCAGGCTCACCAAAAATGATTTCTTCAGCTGCTCTGCCACCAAGACCACCAACAATTCTTGCAAAT